GTTCAGCACCAGAATCCCCTCCAGACTGGTCACTAAGCTGCAGGACCTCGGACTCTCCTCCTCCCTGTGCAGGTGGGTCTGCAGCTGGTTGACCAGCAGACCACAGGTGGTCCGAGTGGGGAACCACCCTGACCATCGGCGCCCCCCAGCGCTGTGTGCTGGGCCCTCTGCTGGACTCACTGCACACCAATGGCTGCCTGTCCACATCACACTCTGACACCATCAGTAAGTCTGCTGATGACAGCAGTGGTGGGTCTGATCTCCAACAACAACGAGGAGGACAATCTGATGGATGCAGGACAACAACACCAAACGATGCAGGTTAAAGGCAGGAAGATCTCAGTGAGCCACCCACCCCAGCCCCAGACTGTTCTCTCTGCTGCCACCAGGGCGGCGCTACTGCTGCCTGAAGGCAAACAGAGAGGATGAGGAGGAGCTTCTGCCCTCGGGCCGTCCTGCTGGACCTGAAACAATAAAAGACCTTGAGCCTGCCACAGCAACCACAAGCACAGACACTCAAACAGCTTCACATGTAGCACCAAGCTGGGATCACCTCAGTGTCTCATCATCAGTGTTAAACAGGAAGAGGCTCCACCTGGTGGAACAACCAGGTAGCTCGGCTTCAACAAAGCAAATGTATTTTAAGTGTGTGTCATCAGCACCAGGGGTCCGACTGAGGTTCTGTATTGGCAGATATTAAATGACTTGGATCAGATGAGCACATAAAAACATAATCAAGGCTCCCCCGTGGCAGAAAGAAACACAAACTCAGTTTGTCTTTATTGTCATTTCCACCATTTTTAATCACATTGAACTGCCAGTCTTCTCTTCAGATGTTCACAGAGCTCCGACTCACAGGAGGGATAGAAAAATATCATCTGGAATAATAAAAGTACAACATCCAGGTTTAAAACAACAACAACAGACTCCTCGAGTTGAACCTGCTTCAGGTGAACAGCGAGGATGCTGCAGGAAGATAATTCACACAGAGACAGTGGAGCTGCTGCTGATCTTCTCTGTCCTCCACCTCCACAGTTTGGCACTGAAACATCAAACTGCTGACGTCAACTAAAGATGGACGAGAACCTCACCGACCTGCACAGCTTCAAAACAAACATTAAAAACTAACCAAAGTACAAAACATGAAGTATTGTTCTATCTGTAAACGTTCTGTTGGACTGTACTGTCAGTGTTCTGATCTCCAGCAGCAGAACAAAAGGTGCATAAGTTCATATCGTACTAACAAATCATAGAAGGTGTGAAATCATCGGTTCTTCTTCTGTTCTTCTGTGAAATTATCCTCCATCACCAGTCAGCTGATGCTGTTCTTCCTCCCATCAGTGTGAGCCAATGACTCTGTCAAACCTCCCCATGGACCAGCTGAACCCGGTCCATCTGGACCAGCTGAACCCGGTCCATCTGGACCTGAACCTGGTCCATCTGGACCAGCTGAACCCGGTCCATCTGGACCAGCTAAACCCGGTCCATCTGGACCACCTGAACCCGGTCTATCTGGATCACCTGAACATGGTCTATCTGGACCACCTGAACCTGCTCTATCTGGACCACCTGAACCCGGTCCATCTGGACCAGCTGAACCCGGTCCATCTGGATCACTTGAACCTGCTCTATCTGGACCACCTGAACCCGGTCCATCTGGACCACCTGAACCTGCTCCATCTGGACCAGCTGAACCTGGACCATCTGGACCACCTGAACCTGCTCTATCTGGACCACCTGAACCTGGTCCATCTGGACCACCTGAACCTGCTCTATCTGGACCACCTGAACCCGGTCTATCTGGATCACCTGAACATGGTCTATCTGGACCACCTGAACCCGGTCCATCTGGACCACCTGAACCCGGTCTATCTGGACCACCTGAACATGGTCCATCTGGACCACCTGAACCCGGTCCATCTGGTCCAGCTGAACCTGCTCTATCTGAACCACCTGAACCTGCTCCATCTGGACCACCTGAACCCGGTCTATCTGGACCAGCTGAACCCGGTCTATCTGGATCAGCTGAACCTGGTTGGACATGAAACATATTCTGTTTGGTTCTGTACTCTGAGAGTTCTCTGGTGTCATCACAGCTTGAACCTCCAGCAGACCTCCAGATGTCCTGAAGATGTTTCCTCCATCAGCTTTGGGTCCCAGGATGAACCAGGCAGGTTGCAGACTGTAACCACAGCTCTGCTGGTTCTACGGTAGCAAACTGCATCTTTCAGGTGGACAGTCAATCAGGACAAAGAATCATTTGTAGACCTCCTATCTGGACAGCTGCTGATGTTCTCCCTCTGTGTTCGCAATGTGACGTAGCGCCCTCTGCTGGGCTTCTGATCAAGCCCTGCTGACCCGGTTCCCTAACTCCACACTGAGGCCAACCAGCTGAGCTAACTGCATGAAGTCAGATAACTTAGCTGGTATAATTTAAAATATGCTAGCAAAGCTAACACTGTGCAACGTTTAGCTGACAGCAGTGCAGCTAGCTCCGCTAGCACCATAATTGCAGCACCAGTTTGAGTGAATCAGCTGATTTTTCAGGTGTGAGCTTACGGTCTGAACAATGTCCTTCTGTTACCGTGGAAACCATCCTTCATCCCGATGCAGCACAGTGGCATTCTGGGAAGGTGTGATGCAGCAGTTGCAGACTCAGCTGACAGCAGGGCTCTGCTCTGATTGGCTGACAGCAGGGAAGGCTCAGGTAGTGAGCTGCTGCTTCCAACCCTGAAACCTTCTGACCCACCTGTCCGACCTGGACCGAGCTCAAGGTCCAGCTGCTGGCTGTGGAGGACAACAGTCACACCTGAACATCTGCACTAGGTGGAGCTATCACAGGTGAACTCCAGGTAAATGTGTAACTGACCTGCTGCTAGGACCAGAGGATGAAGGCCAAAGAGAAGAATAGAAACAGAAATAGAAACTGAAAGAGAGACACAAAGTGTAGAGTTAGTACAATTCACAGGAAACTGATGTGTTATGTACATGTGCTGCCACGGTGATGGAAGAAGCATTGTAAAGCTGTACAAACATGTTTGTGTTTGTTGTGTGTCTCTTTGGGTTTACCTTCTCCTCCAGCTCTTTGATCTGTCGCTTCTGTGCTTCTATAAACTCCTCCAGCTCCTTGTTCCTCTGTTAAACACACAGTCCTGCTCATCAGACACCACCGCTAGCCTGTTACTGATATGCTAGCATTGTGTTAGTGTTGTG